ACACACACACTCCACCCCAATCTCTTCGCCAGCCGGCCTATTATGTAATGATGGCTGTGCATAGAAAATGACAATAGCGCATTGCTTTCTATACAAGACACCCACACACAGGGCACACTTGCATGGACACACACTTCTTCCTCCACCCAAAACACACCGGCACTCTCTCGGAATACAGACAACTGAATAATTATTCCAACTATTCCCTCTCCACATAATCCCAATCCAGCCACTTGACAATGTTGTCATTAGCGCCGCATTAAACGCCTCATTTCAATGTCGCCGATGTAAAGTGTCTTATTACATAAGAAGGTAATTTATGAGAAGACATTGGCAGCCTACCCCCCCAGTGGCGCATCTTTTTGTCTGGCTCATTGCGTGTTCTGCTACGTTTCATCACAATGACCCACTTTGCTGCTCGTTTATTTGACAGGAGGCACTAAATCACCCCCTCTCCGAGGACCTCTGCTGTCATTACGTTCACACAAGGACCTCTGCAGCCTCCCCACGGGCCGCAACGTCGAGCACGTGAAAGTGCTCCAATCCCAAATCCGCCTCTCTCTTTTTGCAGCCGCCCATCTTTCGCACTCTTTTTTTTTTTTTTTTCCGAAACACTACATGTCGCCTCCCTCTTTATTAAAGGCATGGCGCTAATTTTAAAACCTTTCTCTTTAGTTACAGCACGTCCTAGCGGGCCTTTACGTGATGAGGAGCCCTTTTTTGATACAAATTTTTGAATGGAACTATAGAGATGGAGCATTCAGTCAAGCAAAGACAAAAGGATGCCTCGATTTGAGGTGAGGTGTTGATTTGAATTAAGCCATTTATTTGAAAGACTATTTTTTCCCATAATTCTGTGAATACAAATTCTGTTGGTTGACGAAAGGGGGGTGCTTATTTGAGGTGCGGCATTTATTGGAGAGGAGGCCTTTTTACCAATGCTTGCTTTTGAGTGGCTGTATAAGATCCTGCCCACATTTTATTCAAAAGGTGTTAATTGTTTGAAAGGAGGCCTTTACTAGAGGTGAGGTTGGAAAAAAAAGGGGGTGTCTAATCGAGATGAGGCGCTTTATTCAAACCATTTTTTTGTGTGCCTAGAGAGCGCAGTCAATTGCTGTCTTGTTCAGTGAATAAAAAGGAAGCGTCGACTTGCACTGAGCGTTTTATTTCAGGTGGGTTTTTATTTGTTCAAATATGTGTCTAATCCGGGTGAATGGAGCTATTGATTGTAAGAAAGGAGGCATTCATTTGATGTGGGCTATCTATCTCAGGGGTGGGGGGGGCTTTATTTTTCTAACTTTGTGCCTGACAGGAGCTTGACACTGCTGTTTGTTGACTGTACAATGGAGACGGTGATTTATTGGAGGCATTTATTTGAAATAAATCATAAATAAAAGTTTGGTTTTTTTTCGCCGCTGTGACACCTGAACTTTTCATCTGGGGAATTTCCAGTTAAGTACATCTCATCTTGTCGTATCTCATCTAGTTGGTTTTGCAGAAATCCATTTGATTGACACCCCCGCCCCCCCCCAAAAAAAAACAAAAAAACAACAGCAACAACAAAGGAGGCATCTATTTGAGATGGGGCAATTTTTTTTTTTGTAAACATTGTCTGGGTGGAGCTGCACATGCTGCTTTCCCTTTTTTTAAAAAAAAGAGGCTGCATCTATTTGTGGTAAGGTGTTGATTTGGGCAGTCAGGCAACGTACTCAACGGCTAAAGTCGGCCAAGGCGTTTACTGGAATAGAGTGCCACGATTAGACAAGAAGCGGAGTGTATGACGGTGTCAACACAAGCGGGGCCGAAGAAATGGTGACGTGATGGTCGCTTGCCCCGCGGCGCGGCTCCGGCCCAATTACGGCCCGCCGATGTCACGAGACGGACACGTGCGCCCTTGAAAAGTGCGAGATCCTCCGTCAGCGCCGACGGCCACGCGGACGCTACCACTGAGGCAGACTTCTGTCTCATTCCGCAGACTATCAACATGCCCTTTTTTTTTGGTTTTGTTTTTCTAAACCCCTTGAGGACTGGGTGACAAATACTCGCAAGTGTGTATGTGTGCTCAGCGCTGATCCATGAAAGGACCTGACACGCATTGAGTGTTTTATGTATTTTAAGTGTCTGAACCCTGTTTTCTGAGTTTGGTTACGTTTGTAAGCCAAGCCACGATTGGTCGTGAACCGAGCCCCTGAGTATTCTGTGATGTCATTTTCAGTCGACAGCACGTGACAAAATGGCCGCCCACTGAGACGGATCAAAACGGGGGGAAGATTTTGCTGCTCAGAACGCCGTGTTTAGACTCATGTGTCCCAGTTGAACTTGTCAAGAACATTTTTGAGTTGACTTTCCTTTTAATGGTTGAACAAACATGCAGTTTATTTTGCTCTGAAGCTTGAAAAATATACAATTTTGGAGATAGGAGCGTCAGTACATATATTTGACAGATATTTGCATGTTGCTTCTGTTTCCTTTTGTACGTATCAAGTTAACACTCGCAAGTCAAAGCCAAAGCAATTGTCCAGATGGTGAAAAAAAAATGTAAGTGGGGGCCACGTGTATTTCAAGGCGCCGGCAATTCAAAAGGCGTTTTCCTCCTCTGTTGTCTTTCCCAAAAGTCAAGTGAAAGGGGGCTTCCTCATCGTCTTCATCTTCAGCCTCCAGACAGG